TCTCGATATGAACCCTCCTGGGCAAGCTCTTGAACACCCTTCCGTTTCTTTCGTCAAATGCGACATCTCTTCGCTTCAGTCCATCCGCGACGCTCTTGTCGCGCCGTTCCCGGCAACGGGCTCTCCGCCGAATGTCATATTTCATACTGCCGCTATCATACGGTTTTGGGAGCGGGCTGCGTACTGCTGGGATGCCTCTTACCGAATCAACGTACTTGGAACACAAAACATCCTCACTGTCGCCAAAGAGCTCCCCGATGCCATCGTCGTCTATACTTCCTCCGGGGAGGTTGTCTCGGGAGCTCCCAAGTTTATGCGCGTCGACTGGGATGCATTTCCGGTCTGCGTCAAAGACGAAGACCACCCGCCCAAGTATCTATTGAAGCAAAGCTGCTACCCAAGGTCAAAACGTATGGCCGAGCAGCTCGTAATGGAGGCGAGTGCATCTGGACTCAAGACGGGCATTCTTCGGCCGGGGCAGTTGAGTCCTTTTCGCTTGTCAATCACCTGGAATTGACCAAAGCTACCAGTACGATAATTGGTCCCAACGATCGCATGACAAGTAGCACCCTGTTGATGCCGCAGCTACCTCTTTGGGACCAGCCGTGGACTTCCACAGACGTTTGCGTCTGGGACGTCGCTGCTGCGCACCTTTTATACGAGGATGCTCTCCGGCGCATCCCAGAGGAGGTCTCTGGCCAAGGTTTTCTGATAACTGGTCGCGGGGCCGCCTGGAGTATGCAGGACATCCGGGCAGCTATCAAGGTTGATTCATTCTTCTATCTTTCCGCGTTTCATGATGAAATTCTCAGCACTATGCCACCCGGGAACTCGTGTTCGTCAGACTGCCACCGCTGTTAGTGTATCTGCTGGCGCACCTGATGGAAGGCTTTCTTTGGTGCCGGTATCATCTACTCACCCTCGTATCCGGCACTCGTCCGGCGTTGATCCCCAGCTGGCTGGGCTCTGCTGTGTTTCTGCAACCAGCAACGCTTGATGGCCAACTCATCGACCTGATTATCGACGATTCACGCGCGCGGAAAGTGCTTGGGTAACGTGTCCATGTTTCGACTGTCCCATTTTGATAATTCCTCTACAGTTATCGTCCACTGTGGGATATGGCGCAGAGTATAAGATACAGCGTCGACGAGATTCAGTCCGGAAGTGTTCCTGCGACTCACGGGTTGAAGGTTTATTAGTATTATGCTAGCCGAAACAATGATATTCTCTCTGTCTTCTTGGAAGGCAGACTATCCACATTCCAGCGAACATTCGCCACGCAACGCCACCCTTAATTCTTTAAGTTGTGCCAAAAACCCGGTATTCGGGCAAGCCGCTGGCCGCGCTGTAATAATGAGGCCCAGTGCTTCTCGCAAGGACATGTTGTGCTTGGAGATCAAGTAAGCAGGCGACGACCGTTGGTGAACGCGAGACTGCCGCGGAACAGTGGACCAGAATGCGCCGCCGAGGCTGGTCGTCAGCTACGGCAGTGATGAAATCGTTGGCGGGTGATATGACTCGGTCCAGAGAGGCGTCGATGTCGTCTGTGAGCGACAGCCGGTGGTATGCCACACCAGGAAGGATGACGAGCGGACTCGATCCAATACTCAGCACGTCCGTGACGGTGTGAGTGGATATGAATGTGGCAGAAGTGGATGCTCGGAGACCAAGGTACAGGTAGTCCAGGATGGTAGTCATTGTCTACGTTTGATACTACGGATAGGGTCCAAACTACCGATCTCTTTTTTAACTGCTCCGGCGATCTCTAGAGGATCAACCTGCAAGAGTGTAAACGAAACTGTTTGTGCAGACGAGGAAACGGCGTACTCGGGTTCCTTGGCTGGCTGGACGTGAATGCCGCCGTGGTTGGGGGCACCGAGTATCCGGTGGTATGCGTTAAGGTTCTTGTGCAACGTAATCTGGAACACGGACGCAGAGCCTTGACTGTATACACCGAGTCAGAGTACAGAAACAAGGAGATGAACAGACTACGGACCGGCTTGTAATGGTCGACCAGGCGAGGAAGAACGCCCATGTCCGGAACCACTTGTCGCCATACTTTGCAACGATCGCGTCCTTGTTCGAGAGCCAGTTCAGGTACCACCGCCAGATTGTAGCCGAGTAGTGAACACCCAACACGTCGACCGATTTTACTTCAAAGTTGGCTTGTTCAAGCTGAAGCAAGTGATTAGAGGTAAACGACGCTTGAAGGAGGGCCACAGACTTTGGTGATGACCCAACCAAGAGAAGCAGAAGCGTCGGCACCAGGGAATACGTACTTGTTCATGAACAGACCCCTGAGAAGGCCGGAGTTGGCAATGGTAGCACAAAGAGTGAGCACACTTACCAGACGAGATCCTCGAATTGCCATCCAGGCCTGAAGCCCGCTACCTGGAGCACGAAGATCCCATCGTCCGCCAGAAGTTCGTACATTTGGGAGAGGAAGGCCGAGTAGCGACGAATACCCACGTGCTATGAGTTGTTAGTGAATGCTATGCAACTGGGAAGGGAGCACGCACCTCGGCCATCTCCAAACTAACAATCTTGTCATATATGCCCTGTCCGTGCGGGATTTCGCGGTAATCACAGCACAGGATGCGAGCCTTGTCCGCTGGAATCTAGGATCATGTGAGTTTATGATACTATCGTGGATGGAAGGTACGTACTCCATTCTGCGCTATCCTCTCTGTGCCGAACTTGGTCTGGTTCTTGCCAAGAGTAACACCAGTCGCATCACAGCCAAAGTTCTTGGCAGCATAGGCCACGAGCGTGCCCCAGCCGCATCCGACGTCCAAGAGACTGCGAGTGAATGGTGAGGCAACGAGTGGCAAGTATACAATAAAGCGCGAACCGGTCCGTGGGCTTGAGGTCGAGCTTGTTGCACACGATAGCAAGCTTGTTGTCCTGAAGGGTCTCCAGAGACTCGAACGTGTCGGGGGAAAGTACGACGCCGGAAGTGTAGATCATACGCGGACCCAGGAACCTGCAAGGAACATGAGAATGAACCCAGGCACGTAAGAAGATGCGACATACCAGCCATAAAAGTCGTCGCCTCTGTCATAATGATCCCGGACTTGTTCCTCATCTTGGCTCTGAGAGTGGACGATGACCTCCGGGATGAAATTCATAAAGACATATTTGAACAACTCGGGCGTGAAGTTGAACTTGGCCCAGTCGTGACGCTGCTCGAGAATATCGAGAACGTCGCCTTGGACGCGTCAATATTCGACCGAATGACACGAGCTGAGACGCACCGTTAAAATCAATCTTGCCCTCAAAGTACGCGTCGTGGAAGAGTTGCATGGGGATCTTGTTCTTTCCGTTGTACAGTTGCTTGAGCTCGGGGTCCTTGATGGTGATATACTCCTCAATGTTTTTGCCGGGGAGGATGACCTTTTCGTTCTTGCGAGCGCCGTAATTGGACATGAGGTACCAGTAGCCAATGGTGGTAGGGACACCGGTCAGAGCGAGTATGAACAGGTACGTGTACCAGCCACCACGGTTGACCAGGGGAGTGAAGGACTTGACGATGTATGGTACGAAGAGGACGAGAGCTGCGAGCTGGTAATTGGAGAACTGCGCGTTGCCTTCCGCGAGCCCGACGAGCGGCGCATTTTTTATGGAGGGAAGGTTCGTCTCCCGCACGGAGGAAGACATGGCGGAGGTGTAAAAGTTGAACGCTGGCGCGACTTTTATATTTGCCCGTGATGGCCGATCATTGATGATCAAGAGTAAAACGAGCACAAACTTGAAGATTGTTCGTCTCTGAAAGTCGACACACATTCCGTGCCACCGACGCACTCTTGTTATCTCTGTACGCACACCAAACGGCACCAGCACATTCCCATGGTTGTTTGCATGATTTGGTCCAACCTCAGCCAACGTGTTCAACTTTCAAGCCAATTATACAGCCAACTATTCCTTTAGAGGCCTTGGGCCGGTGCTACCAGCAGAATGAATGCTTCAAGGCAAGGTGGAACGAGCCCATGCTCTCTCCCGTCGAACCCAAGCGCGCCAATTCAATTCATCATATCCTCCGAGTCCATCAAATTGTACCAAGCTCAAGACCAGTACGATGAACTAGAGCCTCAGCTTCCTCCAGACGCCACCAAGTGAGCATCCGTTAACATGGGGAAGTCATTGTCACGGATAATTCTGGTTGGGCTCCGTTTCTGTGAATCGCTCTGACAATCGAATTTTATCACATCGGCAAGGAATTTGCTCCCAGGTTCATACGATGTGGCTTGCAGCTTCTCGTTATGGCACGCTCCCTTAGTCATACTTTGTTCCAACTTTGTTCATTCGTTCTTGGTGTGTTATCTGGCCTCTTTTTCTCTAACCACCGCCTCAGATTTTGACAATGACACCCGCCCGATCTTTGCTACCTTGGACACGCAAACAACTAGTCTTGTCTGAGGCAACCACTCCTGGCAATGGCAGGGGCAAAATGATTCACTCTATCGTATGTTGTCTGAGGTCTAGCTTCTTCTTTCTATCTTTGACTCTTGAATTATGATCGTCGCAGTATATTTGTCTTCAAGCATACCCGCAGCCGCAGTACCCCGATGACATGCAGCACTGCGCAGAGTATTCGTCAGAATCCATTCGGGCACGGACAACGGACACGCACGGACTTGTCCGCCCATCGGCACGTCGATGATTCCGCTCCGCAGGTGACGGAGTATCCTTCAACTATTCAAAGGCTGTCTGTTGCGCGGTGCAGATCACTGCCAAAATTCAGCTGCAGCTGCCTTTACCTTAGGAAGCCAATCCACTGATGATGCATGGATGCGCATATCCACCACCACCGAGACTCCGAAGAGTCTCAAATTTAACGTGACGCCATACCATGTGGACTTCATGCTCAAACTCGAGAGTCAATTTGCTCCTTCTCCCCCTCGTTCCCTGTATGTCAAGACCCATCCCCGCACAGTGACCAATCATTAGTGTCCGTGCCCAGCTATGTGAATATAGCAATATTTGGTTCCCTATCTTCCACCGGCTCAATGGTCTAGTCGTATGATACGCGCTTCGGGAATTTATCCCCGTGATCACCTGATCACGTGCAATGTGCGTGGCCCCGGGTTCAAATCCCGGTTGAGCCCCTATTTTGTCCCCAATTGATTGGGGACACCAATTCTCCATCAATTCAACCAATTCCTACTTTTTTCCCCCTTCCAGACGCCGAGATCCTCTCTGAACCCATGAATCACTGATTTCCGTGATCATCAGATGCGCTTGGACCCAGCTTGGACCAGCACTTGACTTTCTCAGACGATATGCTACACTAGGTTCGACACAGGCGGCGACTTGTAACCGACGACTCGCCAGCGTTTCATTGTGCATCCCATAATACCCCGCCGCTGTGGTTTCACTCACATCCCCGCCACCATTTTTCAAAAGTTCTCAGTGGAATCTGGAAGGAAGTTCAGGTAGATCCATCTTCACCGTTCGGGTATGCAGCCCGTTAACAATACTACAAAGCCCAAATTATCCATGTTCGAGGACTCAAGAAAATGTAAATCAAAAAATTAAAACAGCCTCTCGAACGGCTGTGAAGGGTATGTTAAATTTGGGAGCGTCTGAGTGGGCATCTTTTAGAATTGAATCTCATGCCATCACCCATCACCAAATGAAATTCTGAAGAGAGCAGCACAAGAGTGATTATTTGAGGCCTCAGAGAGGAGGATACACGAACCTGGTTCTCTGGGCACCTGCACAAGGTTTGAATTCAGCCGGGGAGTAATTTGTGATGGAGATACAAAACATTGTATCATGGAATGCGTAAATGGATTCGTCGCCTTCTGATCAAATCGCGATGGCAAACTTGATGGAAAGCGAAAAAGAGTAGATCAGCCCTCTTGTTCCATTTTGTCGTTAAATCCAATGATAATACTACAATATGCAATGCTACATGATAATACAACCTTCCGGTGGACATGACCACCAAGGTTCGTCTGCTGTCCTAATCGGGCCTGCGCGACGGCGAATCTCTATCGTATATTCGCACTCGGCTGCGGGCACATCGTACCACCACCTCAGCGCCTGCCCCTCAATAGCCCACCGCCCCGCGCTCACTTGCACGTCAACATCAACGAGATCCCCACGAACGCGCAGATCCGCAGTGTTCAGAGCGTCCATGCTTATGATGCTATCCGTATCGCTCGAGAGTAGTCGCGAGTCGGCATAGTGAACGAGCGGGACAAAAATCTCGCTGGCAGGATCGTCATCGTCCACCGCACCGTCGCGTAGCCGATCCTGGGGACGCACACGGACCACGAGTTTAAAGTGCCCAGAAGCAATGTCGAATGTGATGTCGCGCGCAACGCCAACGAGTTTTGTTGGCCATGGACGGCAGAATGCACGGACGGCACGGGCGCCGTTGGTGAGAAAGTCGTAGGGGTTTTGTCGCCAGCCTGCAGCCTCGACACCGGTCCGGCTCGAGAGCGAGAGCGTGGAGGGCGGCATGGTGATGGTTCCCTTGAGCAGACCCGCCTCGCTGCCAAAGGCCCCGCTGCCTTCGGCCATGCCGTAAAGCGCTGAAGCATCATCCGCGCTCCACAGACTGAGATCCTCCATGTTCCATCCATCGCCCCATTCGTGGGTCGAATCGGGACAGTATGTCCACACAGTCCAGTTGAGCGCATTGCGTCCGTCGGCACCATTCAAGCTGGCGTCCAGGGCCTTTTCCTGCTGGCTATAGTCACCGATGCCCCGCCCATTCTTGTCGCCGTAATATGCGCGCTTGCCGTCCATGTCAAACGGTGTACCAATCTCGCCGATAAGAGTGGGAAAGTCGCCGATAATCGAGGCGTCGGCCTTGAGTATACCGAGCTGATCCTGGAGGGAGGCTCGGATAGAGCGACTGCCAATTTTGACGGCCTGCAGCGTCGAGCGGTATTTGCCTCTTAAAAGGCCGAGCGCATCCGCGTTGAACCAATTCCAATGCCGTGTTATCAAGGTCAACCCGTCATAGTAGTGCCCCGACATCGCAGCGCGACCGCCAAGCACGTCAGCCGATAATGTCGGTGGTTGTGCAAACACGGGTGGCTGCACAAAGAGAATCGCCTCGGGGTGCGCAGAGCGGATGCGCCGTGAGAACGTCTCGAAATGGGGGCGCCAGTAGTCGTTGACAAACTCGACGGGTTCGCTGGTGCCAGGAAGAGTTGTAAAGTAGTTGGGGAGCATGATGTATCCCGTCTCGATGTCCCACACACCATGCTGGGCCCACATGCACGTCCCGAGCTCCCAGCTCGCGGCACGAGTCCATCCCCACTTGTGGTGTTTGCGACCAGGCTCGTCGTCGGGAGATGCCCATATTGTGCGACCCTTGGGATCGATAGTCACGGTTCCGTCGCGAGACGGGCCAAAAGCGCTAAACGACCAGTTTTCTACCGTCTGCGCTTGGCCCATACCGAGGCGCAGTCCCTGCGCAGGTGTAGGGTGCGACCCCTTCTTGAGCGTGGAACCTTGCGCCACGGGGTTCACCGTAAGATCGGCCCAGCCACACAACCCTTCAAAAGGTTCGTTCATGCTGTCCCAGCCAATGACGCAATCGTCAAGCAGGTCGCCCGCGTCGCGAATGCGGTCGGCCATCTTGCCCATGGCCTCGATGTAATGGGACTGTAAGTAATCCTGTATATTCTTGCCGTCGAGCACGCAGCGGGGGGCAAAGTCACGTCCAGCAAAGAAGAGGGTGAAGACGGTCTGTGCGAGGAGGCGGCCGTAATTCGTTGACCATATCATGGCGGGGAGGCTGGCGGGGTCAGGGGCGTGCGCGAGAGGGTATTCGCAGTGCACAATGCATGCCTGGGTGGCGGTAAAATTTCGGGGATTTACTCCGCAAGCGGCAAGCGTCCAGAATGGGGCACCCGAACCGCCAGAGAAGCGGGACCACTGGGCAAGGCATGAGCAAGGGTCAAGGCCCAGCAGGTAAACGTACGATATCCTGGTGCGGATCCATAAACACCCGGAAGCCATACTCTTTGCACTTGCGCAAAACTCTGACCGTGTAGTCCATAAACTCGTAGTCGTACTTTCCGCTGGAAAGCGGTCATGAATGAACAGAAAAAGCAGGCGGTCGACTCACGGGCCCTCGTGCTCCAAGGATTCCCAGGTGACTGGGAATCTCAGCATGTTAAACCCCCAGCCACTCAGACGGGCTAGATGCACGTCCGCAGACCCATCATCGAGATTGAGCGGCCGACCGACAAAAGACTCGCCGCCCTTTTCGGCAGTTTCCCAGAAACCATCCAGTTTGCATGACGGGCGGTCCACAGGAGCTTTGGAAGAGCCCGAGAGGTTGACGCCACGGAGGAGAAGAGTACGGCCGGCGTTGTCGACAAAATTGCAGTCAGTTGTGTGTATAAATGAGGATGTCGTCGGTTTGCCCGTCGCTGGGGACGTCGTTGGCACGAGAGGCATTAAAGAGTGAAGTGGAACGATTCCAGTTGACGTAATACAGTATGATACATTATGAAAGCAATTAGAAAGCAAAATGTCGTCATGGCACCTTGGTGCCCTCTACCACCTCTGTTAATTGCTGGTTTCGCTTCTGGGCAAGCTCAAACTGTCGCTGGAGACTCTTGAGGTTGTTCTCGAGCTCTGCAACACGCTCCTTGCTCCCCTGGCGCTCGCGTTTAACACGTTCTTCTGCGGCCTTGAGGCGAGCCTCGTACTCTTTGACGCGTGCTTCCCATTTGGCGTCAGCCGTCGCGCTCCGTTGATTCATCGCTGCCACCTTTTCCTCCGTCGCAAGCAGTTGGTTCTGCGCATTGTTTAATCGCCGCTCCGCGTTTGCCGCTCGTGTGCTCAGCGACCGAACTTCCATCGGGTCGGCCTGTCCAGGCTTGCGCGTCGACGAGAGTTGTGCCGCAAGCTCGCCGTTGGTCACCTTGAGTGCCTCCACCTCACCCTCTTTCGCACTCAGTTTGCGCCTCCAGCCCGCCTTGGCGTCTGCATACCCCTTGACTCCCGCTTCAAACTTGTCGATCTGCTTCCACCGCATGTCGAGTTGCTTCCGCATTTCGTTCAGCCGTTCCGAGAACCGACCCTCGGCGTCTTTGACCTGGCGCTCAAATTCCGTTTGAATTTGACTCAGCGCCTTGAGCCGCGTGATCAGATTGTCGTGGAACACGCCAAAGTTGGTGAACGGTTTGGTCTCTGCCTGCCCAGCTTTTTTCTGCGAAAAAAAATCAGTCGAATTGACGGCGGAAAGACCAGGTGCCGTACCGGGGTCTTGTCTACACCCAAAATCTTGTCCATGTACTGGTAGATCGTAAGCAGCAACGTATTCCGTTCTGTCAATTGGTCGCGATACTGGCTCTCCGCCGATAAAAGTGCACGCTGATCTTTGCTCAATCGCGCCTCCAGATCAGTGACGCGCTTTTTATACGCCGCCACCTCCGCTTCGGCCGCTTTCAGGGCAGTTTGAACGCCGTCTAGCCGTTCGCTCACGTTCAGCCGAGCTTGCGTCTGCGTGCCGACCTCGCTCTTGAGCTCCATTATCTCGGCATGCATGGCATCAATGACCTCGTCCCTTCCTCTGCCCCTACTCTCCTTCTCCGCCAGTTCAGACCGTGCCCGCGCCAACTCGGCCTCGATACGCTCCAAGTCCCGCTTCAGCCGATCGACTTCGAGCTCCAGTGAGAAGCGCGCACTGGAATGTGTTTCGCCTGCCCTCTTGGACTCGCCTTCGAGTGTTTGGAGCGCAGCCTGCACCGCCGCAAGGTCCGCGTCACGCGTGGCCAACAGAGCTTGCGTGCGAGTAAGGTCTGCAAGTGCACTCTGCAGGGCCGACTCCTTCGCCTCGAGGGTGCGACGTTCAGCACGTATAGCGCTAGCATGGTCCTTGGCAGCGGTCGCGGCATCGCCATCCGCTTGCACCAACGCTGCCCGCGCCTCTTGCAGTTGGCCGACAAGATCCTCCACGTGCGAGGCCAGTTCCTCTTGCCTATCACGGTGTGCGTGGATCTCGCTGTTGCACTCCTCATACATCTCAGTCATCTCCTCGAGTTCACCCTTTAAAGACGCAATCTTGTCCTTGAGGGCAACCGATAGTGCCTCGAGGCGCTCCCGTTCAGCTTCTTCGTCCTCGCGGAGTCGG